CTTATGGTAGAGATGAGACAGACTAGGTCCCAGTTTGCAGTTGCAGGCCTGGAGGTCAGTCATCTCTGCCATAAAAAGTTATGCATTGACCCGATGCACCTTACTCTGGAGCCGCACGCCACAAACCAGGAGAGGATCCACTGCAAGGACCAGGGGTTTTGTTGTGGGGCTCACCACCCTAGATGCATTTTTTAAAGTAATTTAAAATATGTATTTCTTGAAAATGAACTTGTTAATTTCTTGTTTTCGAATAATTGTGTTCAGGGGGCTTTCTTTTATTACCTCGGGCTCGAGATTCAGCTAAAATCATGTTTTTCTTGTATTTTACTTCTTCCTGATGTTTTTCGTAAAGTTTATATAATTTCTTACGTTTAATTACCCTTTTTGTTTTATACGATTGACTTTTCTGATACAATTTATTTAATTCATGCTCATTTTGTATTTCATTCAGAGTCTGGTCCACTTGGCCACCAGTGGGGATGGGGGCACCAACCCCTGCACAGAGGCTTCGGAGCGAGCTGCCCGGACCGTGATTTGATGAGTGAGCTGCACTGTGCGCCCGACCAGCAAAGTTTCTTGTGAAAGTAACATTTCGGGGCAGGGATCGCCGCAGAGTTCTGTTGAAGCTTTCGACCTTTTGCGAGTTGGTGTTTTTGATTGTCCTGTCCAGTACAGCTGGAGACAACCTCTTAGAGATGCAGGCATGGAGCCTTGCCTCATTTTCCGCGGAAGACGGTATTGTAAAACCTTGACCTAAATAAGAACTCTTGCTAACCCAGTTATTTTTTACTTTCCCTTTGCACACCAGAGAGTGTTTTCTGCATGATGCATGATCTCCCATGTAACATTTCACTATTGCATGTTTGGCATATGAGAGCTTGTTTTTTAATTTATCTGCATCTCCAGCATATACTGCATGAGCTTGGTTAATCTCAGCTGTACATCTGTCAACAGCATCTAGGGCAAAATTATGCAAAAGTTTGGTTTTTTCTGCCTTAGTTCTCTTTGGCATGACCTCTTAAAGTTTCTGATCTTTTTTAATTGCCTTTCTGATTGACTCGGACAAGTGTCGAGTGTCAATATAGTGAACTGGGATATTTTGCAGCAGACCGTCCTTATAGAGGGAATCTGCAGCTCGACCGGCAGAGCTGTCCGGGTCAGTGGTTACCTCCCTTACCTCGAGGCCATCTTTGCAGAGGAGTTCAGCCATCCCCTCCCGAGCCCAAGTGAACTCATCCCCAATGGTATGGTGCATTGGTAGATTTGCCCCACACACCCCAGGACTGCAGTGGTGGTTAGCAGTGCCCTCATCCAGTAAGTGTCCATGCTTTGAACAAATTTTATTTTTAGTAACCATTTTAATTATCTGATGTTTTGATGTAACATTTTCAGCGAATGAGTACACAGTCTGTGTCGCCGGCTGGAAGGGTGTCTCACCCACCCCCGAGTACAGGGGGTTGTTGTACATGCCATCGCACTGTACGGGGATGGCATGCGGGGAGTCACTTCCCCTTAGAGTGTTGACATCCACCAGCTGGCGACACCGCTTACTCATGTCAGCCTCATTAAGGTTTTCAATAATTGGCATAATTTTGTTTGATGTCTTTTGTAGAGACTTTCGCGTAGGAGGGGGAGTGTTGGTAGAAAGAAGGATTTTCCTCATCCCATCATTGCCTATAGGGGTTTGACTGAGGCCAACTTGAAGCCCATAGTTAACAGTGGCAGCTTTCCTACCCCGGGATTTGGTCTCTACCTCCTCATACAGATTGTACCGCCTTGATACATATAGACACTTAGTACATCGAAGGCCCATCCGGCTTCCCAGACCACGCCTCTCTTCGGATGCCAGATCCCAATCAAGCGGTCCATCGCACCCCGGATTCCCTTGCTGGTGGAGAGAAATCACCTCATTCCACATCTCGGCTGTTTTCCCAAGGTGTAGCAGTCGATGGGAATTTTGATTGGCCAATCTAGGTAAATATACCATTTTTCATTTGTTTGAGACAGATGACAGTATACAGTGCATGAGAGCACATATTAGAGTTACTTCCCTTAGACTATCTAACAAGACATAGGAAATTTTAACATCATATAACTTTAATTCTTTGAAATGAATTCTTCTGATTTCTTTTCTTATGTACCTATATGACTTTCAACTGCATATATTACATTTTACTTTGCATGTATTTATATGTATTTACATGTAATAGCATGTAATATGTATCCCACCCTAGTAATTAAAAAAAAAGGTCAATTTTTCCCATATTTAGTCATGTAAAAGGTAAGTAAGACTTGATTTGTTAGAATTTTTATGAACTATTGCTCAATTATAAATGTTTTATACAAAATTTGACTTACTGTTCTGATTCATTTGTATTTAGGCATTTTGGAGGGCTTTCAACTTTCGGTCTCCTTGGCCTAAGGAGATGGTGGCACATGGGCCGCACGAGCATTTCCTGCCCTTCCGCAGCTATAGGAGTTTCCGAAACCATCTGATGCAATTGCTGGGACAGTCTGTTGTACCGTGCAGGTAAAATTTTCACATCATTAATTTTCATTCCCTTATTATGAGGCACATTTTGAGGTTTGAAACCATAGTTATGACCCTTTTTGAACTTTGGCATGGTTTTAATTCTCCTTGTTTAAACTTCAAATTCCCCCAAAAATGATAAATGGTCAGTGCTGTTTAAGGCTTCAGAGACTGAACTGTAATGTGTTATCAAAATTTGGGGTTTTCTCTAGCCTGTGTTAATTATAAACAAAGAAGATGGGGGGCACCTGCTATATCTCAAATTTCCATTAGAGAGGGGGGGTGATGAAACTTTTCGCACATACTTAATCAGCAGGAAGGACCAGATAAGGATCATGTAGTATACTAGAAACATTAATGAATAACTCTTCATTATCATCAAAAAGTTTGCTAATTAGTCTATTTGAAATCTTGAAATTTTGCCTTATTTGCTAGATTTGCATTAAATTCTGCAGCTATTTTCAAATTCTGGGTGGAATCCACCCTTATGAAAAAATTGACTCATTTGTGATATTTTCTCATTTTATTTTCAATAAACAACAGAATCATGGCAAATTATCTATATTTTATTCATTACAGTCATCCATAAATCCAAATATGATCACAAGTCTGAAAGTCATTCACTCAGTCTAACACGGTTGGCCGCAGTAGGGTGTCATCAGTTCAGAAGGTCACAGTATCCAAGACGCTGAGGTTGCAGGACTCAGATTTCATACATGTACTCGGGTAAGTGTAAAGTCTTTAAAAATTACTAAATTGACTAATTCCAAGGTAGGTAACAATATGAGTATAGGAATGAGAGTACCAAATCCCCGGATGTGCACATGGCTTTGTTTGTGGCAGAATGTAGATTCAAGGATTAAATAGGTAGGCGTTGTCTGATTGGCTGAATTCAGGTAAGTAATTAACTTAATTTTAAAGTAAAAATATTAATGTTTGAAATAAATGATGGAATGAGGAAATATTATAAAAAGTATAGAAAAGCCAGGGGAAGTTTTAGGAGTGGGGGTTGATTTTTGACATAGCATGTTATTTACTGCCGATCTCTATAAGTTGCGGAAAGGGGCAATTTTGACCTATAAACGCCATGGGACCCTATATTTTTGTCAGTATATTTTGTAAGTGCAAAGAACAAAGTTTCCAATAATACCCAGGATTTGTCTGAAATTACAATAGGTAAGTACTGAGAGGGCCTAAGATTTGTATTGAGTTCTATGGGAAATGAATTGGTACTCTTTTCCCTATAGAGAACCCCATTTTGAAATGTCATGTGACTTTAAAGACAGAAAATGCTACTTTAGCTATCCTAGTCAGAGAGATTTAGTAAACTAAGAATAATGCAAGCTATTTTTGAGACCCTGGGGGAGAAATTAGCCTCAAACAGTGAAAATGTGGGGGGTTGCAGGCTTTGGACAGGGGGGAGGGATAGAAGTGGGTATGGGAAAATGAGGGTTAATTGGCCGGAGGAGGGCAGTACAGTCGAGAGGGTGCATCGGGTAGCTCTTATGGTAGAGATGAGACAGACTAGGTCCCAGTTTGCAGTTGCAGGCCTGGAGGTCAGTCATCTCTGCCATAAGAAGTTATGCATTGACCCGATGCACCTTACTCTGGAGCCGCACGCCACAAACCAGGAGAGGATCCACTGCAAGGACCAGGGGTTTTGTTGTGGGGCTCACCACCCTAGATGCATTTTTTAAAGTAATTTAAAATATGTATTTCTTGAAAATGAACTTGTTAATTTCTTGTTTTCGAATAATTGTGTTCAGGGGGCTTTCTTTTATTACCTCGGGCTCGAGATTCAGCTAAAATCATGTTTTTCTTGTATTTTACTTCTTCCTGATGTTTTTCGTAAAGTTTATATAATTTCTTACGTTTAATTACCCTTTTTGTTTTATACGATTGACTTTTCTGATACAATTTATTTAATTCATGCTCATTTTGTATTTCATTCAGAGTCTGGTCCACTTGGCCACCAGTGGGGATGGGGGCACCAACCCCTGCACAGAGGCTTCGGAGCGAGCTGCCCGGACCGTGATTTGATGAGTGAGCTGCACTGTGCGCCCGACCAGCAAAGTTTCTTGTGAAAGTAACATTTCGGGGCAGGGATCGCCGCAGAGTTCTGTTGAAGCTTTCGACCTTTTGCGAGTTGGTGTTTTTGATTGTCCTGTCCAGTACAGCTGGAGACAACCTCTTAGAGATGCAGGCATGGAGCCTTGCCTCATTTTCCGCGGAAGACGGTATTGTAAAACCTTGACCTAAATAAGAACTCTTGCTAACCCAGTTATTTTTTACTTTCCCTTTGCACACCAGAGAGTGTTTTCTGCATGATGCATGATCTCCCATGTAACATTTCACTATTGCATGTTTGGCATATGAGAGCTTGTTTTTTAATTTATCTGCATCTCCAGCATATACTGCATGAGCTTGGTTAATCTCAGCTGTACATCTGTCAACAGCATCTAGGGCAAAATTATGCAAAAGTTTGGTTTTTTCTGCCTTAGTTCTCTTTGGCATGACCTCTAAAAGTTTCTGATCTTTTTTAATTGCCTTTCTGATTGACTCGGACAAGTGTCGAGTGTCAATATAGTGAACTGGGATATTTTGCAGCAGACCGTCCTTATAGAGGGAATCTGCAGCTCGACCGGCAGAGCTGTCCGGGTCAGTGGTTACCTCCCTTACCTCGAGGCCATCTTTGCAGAGGAGTTCAGCCATCCCCTCCCGAGCCCAAGTGAACTCATCCCCAATGGTATGGTGCATTGGTAGATTTGCCCCACACACCCCAGGACTGCAGTGGTGGTTAGCAGTGCCCTCATCCAGTAAGTGTCCATGCTTTGAACAAATTTTATTTTTAGTAACCATTTTAATTATCTGATGTTTTGATGTAACATTTTCAGCGAATGAGTACACAGTCTGTGTCGCCGGCTGGAAGGGTGTCTCACCCACCCCCGAGTACAGGGGGTTGTTGTACATGCCATCGCACTGTACGGGGATGGCATGCGGGGAGTCACTTCCCCTTAGAGTGTTGACATCCACCAGCTGGCGACACCGCTTACTCATGTCAGCCTCATTAAGGTTTTCAATAATTGGCATAATTTTGTTTGATGTCTTTTGTAGAGACTTTCGCGTAGGAGGGGGAGTGTTGGTAGAAAGAAGGATTTTCCTCATCCCATCATTGCCTATAGGGGTTTGACTGAGGCCAACTTGAAGCCCATAGTTAACAGTGGCAGCTTTCCTACCCCGGGATTTGGTCTCTACCTCTTCATACAGATTGTACCGCCTTGATACATATAGACACTTAGTACATCGAAGGCCCATCCGGCTTCCCAGACCACGCCTCTCTTCGGATGCCAGATCCCAATCAAGCGGTCCATCGCACCCCGGATTCCCTTGCTGGTGGAGAGAAATCACCTCATTCCACATCTCGGCTGTTTTCCCAAGGTGTAGCAGTCGATGGGAATTTTGATTGGCCAATCTAGGTAAATATACCATTTTTCATTTGTTTGAGACAGATGACAGTATACAGTGCATGAGAGCACATATTAGAGTTACTTCCCTTAGACTATCTAACAAGACATAGGAAATTTTAACATCATATAACTTTAATTCTTTGAAATGAATTCTTCTGATTTCTTTTCTTATGTACCTATATGACTTTCAACTGCATATATTACATTTTACTTTGCATGTATTTATATGTATTTACATGTAATAGCATGTAATATGTATCCCACCCTAGTAATTAAAAAAAAAGGTCAATTTTTCCCATATTTAGTCATGTAAAAGGTAAGTAAGACTTGATTTGTTAGAATTTTTATGAACTATTGCTCAATTATAAATGTTTTATACAAAATTTGACTTACTGTTCTGATTCATTTGTATTTAGGCATTTTGGAGGGCTTTCAACTTTCGGTCTCCTTGGCCTAAGGAGATGGTGGCACATGGGCCGCACGAGCATTTCCTGCCCTTCCGCAGCTATAGGAGTTTCCGAAACCATCTGATGCAATTGCTGGGACAGTCTGTTGTACCGTGCAGGTAAAATTTTCACATCATTAATTTTCATTCCCTTATTATGAGGCACATTTTGAGGTTTGAAACCATAGTTATGACCCTTTTTGAACTTTGGCATGGTTTTAATTCTCCTTGTTTAAACTTCAAATTCCCCCAAAAATGATAAATGGTCAGTGCTGTTTAAGGCTTCAGAGACTGAACTGTAATGTGTTATCAAAATTTGGGGTTTTCTCTAGCCTGTGTTAATTATAAACAAAGAAGATGGGGGGCACCTGCTATATCTCAAATTTCCATTAGAGAGGGGGGGTGATGAAACTTTTCGCACATACTTAATCAGCAGGAAGGACCAGATAAGGATCATGTAGTATACTAGAAACATTAATGAATAACTCTTCATTATCATCAAAAAGTTTGCTAATTAGTCTATTTGAAATCTTGAAATTTTGCCTTATTTGCTAGATTTGCATTAAATTCTGCAGCTATTTTCAAATTCTGGGTGGAATCCACCCTTATGAAAAAATTGACTCATTTGTGATATTTTCTCATTTTATTTTCAATAAACAACAGAATCATGGCAAATTATCTATATTTTATTCATTACAGTCATCCATAAATCCAAATATGATCACAAGTCTGAAAGTCATTCACTCAGTCTAACACGGTTGGCCGCAGTAGGGTGTCATCAGTTCAGAAGGTCACAGTATCCAAGACGCTGAGGTTGCAGGACTCAGATTTCATACATGTACTCGGGTAAGTGTAAAGTCTTTAAAAATTACTAAATTGACTAATTCCAAGGTAGGTAACAATATGAGTATAGGAATGAGAGTACCAAATCCCCGGATGTGCACATGGCTTTGTTTGTGGCAGAATGTAGATTCAAGGATTAAATAGGTAGGCGTTGTCTGATTGGCTGAATTCAGGTAAGTAATTAACTTAATTTTAAAGTAAAAATATTAATGTTTGAAATAAATGATGGAATGAGGAAATATTATAGAAAGTATAGAAAAGCCAGGGGAAGTTTTAGGAGTGGGGGTTGATTTTTGACATAGCATGTTATTTACTGCCGATCTCTATAAGTTGCGGAAAGGGGCAATTTTGACCTATAAACGCCATGGGACCCTATATTTTTGTCAGTATATTTTGTAAGTGCAAAGAACAAAGTTTCCAATAATACCCAGGATTTGTCTGAAATTACAATAGGTAAGTACTGAGAGGGCCTAAGATTTGTATTGAGTTCTATGGGAAATGAATTGGTACTC